GAAAGAAACAGAACGTGGTTAGTCTCTTTAAATGCCAGTCATACATCTATACTGGCTGTTCTCCAGATTAGTTGCAATGTAGACCAGGTTTTACATGGCTATGCAAGACTACATTAATTTATCTGGAAGTTTGTTTGAATTGTGTTTGGAAAACTGGAAAATCATAGTGCATATACCAGCCAATCGGATTCATAATCCATGGGCACTTAACACAGCACTTAAATGTATCAGCATAAATTGTGCACAGTCTGTATTTGGCAGTTCTTTACAGTGCAAGTAGAGGTGCTTGGGGGGAAGGCAACCTGATATATGATTGATGGGGAAATAAGAATAGGATCAGGAGGGCTGGCTGAACGGCAAGATGAATGCATGAGTTTCCCAGCCTGGAGAAAAACGATGTTCATGAGAATAAATTGACACCATATCTTCTGTTCTAGTTCACCTTCCATTTCATCCCTTCTTATATGCCTCCACCCTGTGACTCAGACAGGGTCACAGTATGGTAACCACGACAACAACATCCGGCACAACACAGTAAGAGCGGTAAAGAAAAACCAGGACAAGAAGAAACGGCAAGATATGAAAAGATGACACTGAGGTTATGATTGATAGGCATGGCAAATGAACAAGGCTTCCATTAGCTGGTGCATGCAGAAGATGTGGAGGCTTTATCAAGGGAGGCTGAAAGCTTCTTCGGGCTATGAGTGTTTCTAGTCTGTTTTAGTCATACTCCAATGACAGGTTGGAGGAGATTATTCGGCAAAGCCTACACTGTGCTATAAGCAAAAATGAGGGGGGAAAGATAGCTTGGATTACAGAGCAGACGAAATCTGCCAATTAAGGACAACAAAATCTTGTTGCTCCTCAGCGTTGCGCTTTACAGTCAGGACAGCAAAATGTAGAAGAAAGATTTGAAGAAAATCTCAGACAGGAAAACACGCCAGATACGGAAAACAGCAGGTTCACGATGTAGGCTACCTTGCTACAACATGCGAGACACATTTACCTCCTCACACATACAAACTTGTTTATGCTATGCAAGACATAAAAAGAGAAAGCTAGGGTGTTAACACATTTAGATTTTACTGTTTCTATAAAAATGTGCTGCAATTAGCAATATGCATAACGTGAAAATCCTCCCATGCACACTTTTTAGAGCAATAATCTGAAAACAAAGCAAAGCAAACAGCAAACTCAAAGATAAGTATCAGTTGTCTATCTAGATTAGCTCTCCTGAATGAAAATTAAAGGACATGTTGGCCCCCTTTACACTTGGAGCTTACATCAGAGTTTGCGTTAACCAAAAAATTTCCATCGTTCACCGAATTTATAAAACACGGATAATTCAAAACGCTCGCAGATTAAAATAAGCCATTTGGTCTATTGCGTTTGGCTGCTTTAGAAACATTCCCACAGTAAAGGATGCTAATAGGGATTAGAAGTGAAGAAAAGGGTGGAAAATAAAGTTTTAAAGCGCCCATGCGAAAACACACTGGGAGAGAGACGAGAGTGAGGATTTGAGGAGAGAAATTAGAGATTTCAAGTGTAGTGCAGTGGAACAATTCATGGGATATTGTTCATTAAATTGGGTGACCAGGTCCTAAAACCACAGTGTAAAACAGAATAAAAAAGACAGCAAACCACAACACAGGTGCCTGGTAAGCCAAAAAGAGCTTTTGCCACAGAAGTTCTTGAGATAAGATATTGTTATATTAAAAACAATCTCAAACAACTGTCCCTAACCATATTTGAATGTGGTTTCAGTGATCCGATCACAATGTGCCCTGTGGTTTAATGCTATCTGATTGTGATCCGATCACCGAAAACGCACTTTAATGCCAGGTGCAAAAAGGGTCAAAAGTCCAATCAAATGTGATGACAGTGAGTAATGGAGAAAGAGCCACGGAAATGTCAAGTCACTCTAATTTGTACCACATGTGCAACGCATCACCCATTTTTCTCAATACAACATTAAAAGGACTTTAAAAAAACATCCATTTGTTAAATTCATCACCTTTGCCCAATGCCTGCAGATTTTCGTCTTCAAAAAGAGCCTGTTCAGTGAACTGGTGTTCACAGACAATGGTCAGGAAGGTTTTAGAAATGAAACAAAGGAGACACACTAACTGCCAGACATTTGTTACCTCACAAAACAGTTTGTCACGTTTAGAAATGTGTGCTCGCTGAAGAAAATATATCAAATGAAATAAAGTTCAACTACAATATTGTGACAGCATTGTATGATGTTGAGAAATTTGTGGTTGTTTGTCAATTCACGCAATCATTTGCCCCAGTTGTATGGCACTAAAAATCTGCATTCTGTGACATTATTTTCATTATAGTCAATGACTAGTAGTGCTAAACTCATTCTTGAGAGTTAATATCTTTCACACTAATGAATTCCCATTGAGACATTGAGGAAAACAAAGAGCGACAGTGTGTTGCTTTGACATGCATTTTTTATCTGAATCCGTCTTTGAATATTGCAACCAAGGCCATTAGCTATATTGAGGTCATTTGGCAATTAGTAAAGCTTAAATAATGCACTTTTAAACATGTGGTTCGATCTCTGAGTGTATCTGACTGTAACGTCATTAGCAAGAGTGCATGCCAACGCCAACGTTTCATGAAAGTGCACTTTTTCTTAATGAAAATTTAATCTCTTAAGCATAATGTCAGTTAACATTCTAATTCTGCTGTTAAGAATTACATTCAAAAATTTACTTTATGTGAAGCATAAAACAATGAGGAATAAAATATTCAGGCCAATGAGGACCTAATGGAGTTTAGACTCGTGCGCCAACTCTCTTTTAGTGGTAATACTGGGCCAGTATAGATAACGACACTAAAAACTCCTGTTTTGAGGGTTCATTTTGGGCATAGCTTACCAAAAAATGGAAAATTCTGTCAATATTTACACATCCTCATATTGTTCCAAACATATTTCTTCAGTGGAACACAAAAGAAGACATTCTGAAGCATGTTTTTTGTACATACAAAGAAAGTTAGTGGGGTCCAAAACAACATTGGATCCAAATATCTTCTTGTGTTCCACAGAATAAAGAAATGCATACAGGTTTGAAACGACATGAGGTGAATAATGGCGCTTTTCCACTGCATCGTACGGCACGGTATGGCTCAGTACGGTTCACTTTTGGGGGGTTTTCCACTGGGTACAGTACCTGGTACATTTTTTAGTACCACCTCGGTTGAGGTTCCAAGTGAACCGTACCATTACCAAAACGTGACGTGTAAACTCTGCTGATCACTGATTGTCCGGAGAGAATCGTCTCATCGTCACTGAACTTGCGACACAAACACAAAAGAACCGCTAGATTTAAATCAGCACAGCCAGCGAAGGATCGAATGCAACTATTTTGAACGAGCGCACCTTTTTTTAACAACCAAAATGTTTCGTTGTCTGTTGCGGATGAGGAAGTACAGACGTTCCTTTGATAGCAGAGGAGCGGATCCAGCTAGAGCTTGATGGGGCGATGCGGAATGAAAAAGTTTTTTTTAGGAGTAGTGGCAGTAGAGGCGGCGCAACTATAACGACATGTGAATAATCCCGCCCACTCCAAAGCGATACTAAACTGCAGTGGAAACGCAAATCGTGCCGAGCCGAGCCGTGCCGTGCCGTACTGAGCCATGCCGAGCCGAGTCGTACCATGCAGTGGAAAAGCGCCATAAATGATGCCCAAATTTTTGGTTTTGGGTGAAAAAAATTTTTAAATCCCCATTTTGTCCAAAAACACTGAATCTTGACATTCAAGTATAGAATAATGGCTTTTCCCCCCGTTTACATTCAACCTTGTCACAGAAGACCTTTAATGGAAGCTCATGCCATTAAAGAGCATGTCACTATGCTAAATACCCTTTGTAGACACCAAACGCACTCAATCACCTTGATGCTGTCGGACGTACTGTACAATAAATGACCCAGGTTGGTTCCATAGGGGGAAAGTACTTAATTCTGCGTCTACAGCATTTGGCTGGGGATACTGTATGTCTGGGATGAAGAGTCAACAAAACAAATGTGAGGGAATAATCTAAGAAACACTTTCAATCAATACAAGGTATAAAATATGAGGGTGGAAATCATACGCGGGCTAAAAATAGAGCGAAATGATAGGTTTCTCCATGCTGAGGAGAAAATCAAACACTGCACTTTGATTAGTACTCCACACCTTGTCTCTGAGGTTGAGGTCCTCCATTAAATATTAATGTGTCCCTGAATTCACCTTTGCTTCATCAATACTTATTGACCAATATTATAACAGCAATTTAGTCCCAGGCAACGATGATCAGCTCTTGCATTTGCAATCTCTACAGATGTGGAGATGTGTGTGTTGTGGAGGAATTGCTTGCCATTTCTCATTAGGAGCACAGTAGGGTAGGTTTCCTTTTCATTAGCGATGAGGAAAATAAGAGGTACGAAGGAACTCTGGTGGGAGGAGAAGATGCAGCTTTCTGGTCTATTCTGGGTTTCTCACATCACAGACTGTCGGTCTTCAGTAGAACGTGAAAGATACTGGAATTTTTCATCTCAGCTGGGCCTTTGATATGCTTCATTTAAAAGCAGGGGACTCAACTTTTCCATCTGCCACTTTTAAGACTATCACTATTTTTTTTTATTGTTGTTGATGTTGTTTTTTTTGTTTTCATTTGTTTATCTTGTTAGCCCACTTACTTTTATTATTGACTCAGTGGCCAGTGAATCAGAAAAACACTAAGCACTTCAAACAGACTGCTCAAAGAAATTGCATCTCATTTTAAGAGCTCTTTGAAAATGCTTCACAGAAAACGTCAGGCTCCAAAACAATGACCTATTTGAGTAGCATCTTCTCTCATTTCCTCTGCAACATATGCATTGAAGATGGGGGAAAACACTGCATTTTCTCCGAGGAGCTCTGCGACGACTGTAACAGCATATGTGAAAAAGCAACTACTGTACCAGCACAACACGAGTTAGCCAGGGGAGAGTAATGCTTGTTACTTACGAATCAGAGGCACACTGGCATTGGCTGTTCCCAACCTGTTGACGGCCACACAGGTGTAGTTGCCATAGCGATCCTGTGTCATGTTCTTCACTGTGAGAACTGATCTGGAGCTGAGGTTCTTGATGTCAATTCCTTGGCCCATGTTAATCCTGAAAATAGGACCATGAGTTGACATGACACGTCAAGCAGTGACACCTGCTGCAGTGTGGCATGCTATAAATCCATCCAGCAAAAAGTATTTTAGCAGCACTTCTCATTTATACATGCAGACAGGCTACATGGAATACTAGTACTTTTAAAAATTAATTTGGTCACACTATTGACGTAAACTGGAAAAAATTACTGAAAGGTGCAAAACACAGAATATTTTTCAAATGTCTGAATATTTTTCACTACTTTTATTCAGCAAGTACAGTATGCATTACTTTTACATAGTTATAAAAGATTTATGAAATATTTAGAAAAAAATGTATCAGTCTCCACAAAATTTTCAACATCGATAATAATAAAAATAAACGTTTCTTGAGCACCAAATAAACTTATTTGTATGATTTTTGAAGGATCATGTGACACTAAGGACTGGAGTAATGGCTGCTGAAAAGTCAGTCACTGATTTCTTTCTTCATCTAAGAATGGTACATAATGTTTTGGACACATATTAATGTTTCTTACACCAAAAGATGGCAGGTAGATATATGGTAGTATGTGAGTTATGAAGGAAAATGTAAAAAAATACAATTGTCCTGACGGAATAGCTAAAGGGAAAATCAGAAGCAGAACAATTTGCACATGGCTTATACCTGTGTCAAGGTGAAAGGTTCAGCTGCAGTTGCTCGAGAGTCCTGACTTGGGTCATACGTGTTACTCTCACAGGTAAAGCTTCTGACCTTTTGTCCCCTAACTCTCAAGTAGCTTGTCTCCTGCTGACATTTGCTTAAATAAGAACAAAAAAAAAGACCACTGCCACCACTGTATCTGAGTGTTATAGGCCATTATACACAAAAATATTTACATAATCTATTCAGAATCACCTTGCTTATACATTATAACATTATAAATGTAAAAAAATACAATTGTCCTGACGGAATAGCTAAAGGGAAAATTTGCACATGGCTTATAGCTGTGTCAAGGTGAAAGGTTCAGCTGCAGTTGCTCGAGAGTCCTGACTTGGGTCATACGTGTTACTCTCACAGGTAAAGCTTCTGACCTTTTGTCCCCTAACTCTCAAGTAGCTTGTCTCCTGCTGACATTTGCTTAAATAAGAACAAAAAAAAAGACCACTGCCACCACTGTATCTGAGTGTTATAGGCCATTATACACAAAAATATTTACATAATCTATTCAGAATCACCTTGCTTATACATTATAACATTATGTTCAGCCTCTGTTATTAGCAAGCAACTGGAAAACAGAACAATGTTTTTGGGAGTCGCAATTTAACAAGTGCTTTCCATTGCAAAAGTATCTAATTTGGAAACCCAGCTATCTTTAGATTTACAAAAATTTACATATATTTAGCTCAAGAAATATATTATTATAATTTTTCATGATTATTTAATTTTTTTAAAACATAATTAGTTTATGATTCTGCATCATTCCTGTTGGTTTCTATTGTTTCCTGCTGTTAGTTCAGCATTGAGTCGGCACATTCAGACAAATACAGTAAAACATACAGTTTAGCAACAATGCTCAATGTAAAGCCTTAGATTAAGCAGAGTACAGACCCAATGCCAATAAGCCTCCTTTGCAATTTGAATAAATTGAGTGAAGTCTATAATTACAATTAGCACAGTGTGAACCGCTGATTCAGATCGTACTCAGCAAGAGTGAGTAAATGACGGGTAATGGGGTAATTTGGTATTTAAATTCAAAAACCACCACTTGAGTCAATGCTGACTGGTGCGAAGACTTGGAATGCTCTTTACTAGTGATAAGTTTATACAAACATTCAATTAAAATGCAGAGTTAAGATAGTAAGACAGATCCTCCTAACATACACAGGTTTGTACTATTTCAACTTTAATGTAACTGTATAAAAATGGTGCATTTAGAAGTAGACTTGAGTATACCTCTGATTTATTTTCTTTTTTTATCACATTCCATAACATTTCATTAATTTGGCTGTTTTTAAACATAATCAAATGCTGTTAACTAGTGCTGGGCGGTATACCGTATCATTTTGAAAAATACCGTGATATAAATTTTTGGTCATACCGCCCAGTACTACTGTTAACAGTTTTTTATTTATTCTAGAGCTAGAAATAAGTCCGTAGGTAATAAGTGTGCTCTCTATTTTTAGTTTTTATAAAACTTTATTAAATTTTATAAATACTTTTATAAATAAAAATCTTCCACTGACATAGTGAAAGAAGGTTTGGTATTGGAAAAGTAGAAACCTAAAAATAAAATATACACATCTAGAAAAAAATTCTGGTGCACAGCCACAAATGAATGTTCACAGAAAATAACAAAAAACCCTAAAAACACTGACATCCCCAGAAAGGGGTCGAAACGTCAAAATATTGGAAGAACTAGCAGTGAGCCAGTGTTTTTTATTGTGTTGACAGTGATGAATATTTGCATATTGGCATTCTTTCTTGCATTCATTTGCATATTGAATTGTGATTGGTCTTATCTCTCTTACATCTACTTAACCATCTGTAGCCAACTTTACACTGCAAAGAGTGAAATCCACATTATGTGCTGATACTTGTACACAGCTGACAGAAAACTAGAAGCGTACTGAGTGCCATGACAATGGCAGAGTTAAAAATGGATCTGATTTGACATTTCATTGCCACACAACCGAAGCAGCCCTAAAACTCTTCCTTGTCTTGCAAACACTAGTCTTTCCTTCTAGAAAATCACAATTTTAGCACTTTTTGGGAACTAAAAATGAATTTCGCCCCTCCCCCCAAAACATAATGTGTTCAAACCAATGCTTAAAATTATACATAATGCTGACTGATCAATTAAGACATCTTTTTGTGTTGCTCAAATGACTCAAATGATAGTTTGCTTCAGATCTCTTTTAGAAAGTTTTAGAAAGAAGTGTATGACTTCTCTTTAATTAAAAGTAAAAAATGACGGTAAAGTTGCAAAAGTGATTTTCATGAGCTTATGCTGTGCCAAGAATCACTATCTTTCGAAATTAAGACTCTTTAATAAGACACTTTGTAATATTTGATAAGCTGCAGATCCATAGCTATTAAACTAATACTACTAAAGACTGTAATACAGCTTTAGATCAACGTTCAGCGATTAAACCTTAGGCGAAATTCTCAAAAACTGCTGTACAGTTTGATTGTACTGTAATTATTCAGTGGATTCAACAAAGGCAGTGACTGCAAATGAATACTGATCAAAATATTGCATTTTTTTTTTTACACACGCACACTTGCCACAAAAAGTGGCCTCGACCGACGTTAACCTTCTCTGTGGTGAGCATTCTAAATCATAAATAAACTCACTTAACATGCACAATGTATGATAAATTATCACTGTACAGCTAAGCTAATGAAATGAAGGCTTTTATCATCTATCACTCTTGGTTTTACCTTTTCTCTCCCTTGTACCACTCAAAGACTGGAGAGGGGACAGCTGCTGCCTCGCATCTCAGCAGGGCAATCTATTTGATAAGCTGCAGATCCATAGCTATTAAACTAATACTGCTAAAGACTGTAATACAGCTTTAGATCAACGTTCAGTGATTAAACCTTAGGCGAAATTCTCAAAAACTGCTGTACAGTTTGATTGTACTGTAATTATTCAGTGGATTCAACAAAGGCAGTGACTGCAAATGAATACTGATCAAAATATTGCATTTTTTTTTTTACACACGCACACTTGCCACAAAAAGTGGCCTCGACCGACGTTAACCTTCTCTGTGGTGAGCATTCTGAATCGCAAATAAACTCACTTAACATGCATAATGTATGATAAATGATCACTGTACAGCTAAGCTAATGAAATGAAGGCTTTTATCATTTATCACTCTTGGTTTTACCTTTTCTCTCCCTTGTACCACTCAAAGACTGGAGAGGGGACAGCTGCTGCCTCGCATCTCAGCAGGGCAATCTGACCGGGTCGGACCCCGTGACTTCTCATCTCATGGATTGCTGGAGGAACTACAGAAAGAAAATAAAAACCAACGTGATTTAGGGAAAGAGTGAACACACGTAACAAGCTAACTCAAATAAACTAACCCTCCAAGCTGGAGAGGGAAGATCCTTCTAAAACGCAAAGTTTTCATTTACAGTCGTGTGAATTAGGCAGAAATGAATTAGCAACAAGATTCAGAGTGGTCAACACGTGTAAGTCTTATGGGTGCAATGCTGAGAAATACCATTCGTCCCAAGGGTTGGAGAAATGAAATGAACTGCTCAGTGATAAATTGTTTAATAGCTGTTCAAAGGCTGAGGAACTGAGGAAGGTTCTCTGAATATGTGCATGTAAAATGAGGACCCTTTCATGTTCACAAATGCAGTGTAAATCTCTCTAGCGGTGTTAGTGAGAGAGCTTTAACTACAGGCTGAATTTTTATTTTCCAGCTCGTCAAGAAGCAACAATCCTCTCTCGATGGGAAAAAAGAAATGTTTATCATACATAAATCTTCATTGTATATTATTTCTTATAGCAGGAGTAAACAGAGTAAGCTACTAGAATGGCATGCTTTCAAATACAAAATGACATATAGAAAAAGGCTATGAAAGAAATAACACCGTACTTAATATACACACAAATAAAGCAGGCATGTACAGAATACTAAGTTGAACACAATATATAAAAAAAAAAATTTCAGAAAATAACTCCCTTCAAGCAGGTGATCCACTTATGTCTTTCTAGCTAGCGTTAAATTACTTGCTATGTCTGAATTTGAGTGGGGGACATTTATATTCCAGGCAACTCGTTCTTTGAAAATCACCTGCAAGTTATTGAGGTCTGTGTTCAGACTATTTTTTCCTGATTGAATTTTTGACATTCTCTTCTATAACCCCAGTGTTGAAGGTATGAAGTTCTCCAGGCCTTCGATATAAAAATGTTTCATGTTATCTGAGGGCTGAAAAGAAATTTCCACCATTGTGGTGAGAACAGTAACATGGATTTTTAAGTATGATGTTCTCAGACTTTGGGCTCCGTAGTTATGTCACATAGATATGTTACAGCATTAACAAATGTGAAGGCATGCGCTTCCCCACATTGTACACGGAAGTGAGAGTTTCTCTCATTTCTCATATCTGGAAAGCTAATTTGCAGCATTTGAAATTCAAAGCATCTAACAGTAAGTGTGAGGAAAAGAAAATCTCAGTTTTTCTGAATTTGAAGCAGAAACATTCACTGAGATCAGAAAAAAAAAACATATACAGTATTTGCTAGATTGCTACATGGATTACCATCTGCATGTCAGGTACCAGTCACTTGACTGAAATAATAATTATCTTCACTAAAGAAATTTCCATGACTCTTTTTACTCCTAGAAATCAAAATGTTTTCCAAGGCTGTGAGAACCGTGCATAAAGAGTATGGATATCCATCATTGTAATCACTGTGTTGAGAAATTTAGTTCTGTGATATTGCGCTGCTCATCATTTCTTCACTGCACAATCTCCTGGGAAGGTATGAAAATAGCAGTGTGACACATCAACGCAGCTTGAATGCAGAGTTTTGGCATATGTTGGAAGAGAAGTCTGTCTGATCCAAAAAAGATGGCAACGGATGAATCTTCTGCTTTGGCTGGATCATGCATTTACAGTACAGGCATCAACCCATGCAAATGCCTAGGGAGCATTACATAACCTGAGCATCACAGAAGCAGGCTAGCATAAGATTTAAGGATAACATAACATAAGAGATTAAAGGAACACATTGCTGATGACAAAGGCGAGGACAAACGACTGCTGAGCCTATAATATATGGGTGCAGAAAGTACAAGGCTGAGAGTGCAGAGAATTTAAAATCAACCCATTTTACTGCAGTAATCTGATGTATGAGTGAAACATGAGAAAATAGGAACAAATGGGGTTAGACTGTGAAAATGGGCACATGATATAAATAATTACAAATTTTCATTTTTATTGTTTAAAAACAGTTATGCTGCTTCACATTTTTTGTGGAAACCCAGGAATTCCATGATTTTTGTAAATAATAAGTAACATTGTGAATGTCTTTATTTTCACTTCTGATAAATTTAATGCATCCTTGCTGAATAAACATTATTAACACTATAATCCTACTTACCTCAAACTTTTGAATGCTAGATCACGAATACCACAAAAACAAAAAAATAAGAAAAGTTTATTGAGCACCTAATCATATGACACTGAAGACTGGAGTAATAACTGCTGAAAATTCAGCTTTGCCACCACAGGAATAATTACAGAAATACTTTTTTTTATATATATTTAAATAGAAAATGGCTTACAATATAATAATAATGTATTTTCATAAAATAAATGCAGCCTTGATAAACATAAGACAATTCTTTTGAAAACATTAAAAAACTATAATATATTAATATATTCATGAAACTATATTAACTATATTACTAAAACAAAATTATTCCAAACTTTTGATCAGTAATGTACATACAGTATGTATGTATAAAAAAAGTAATGAGAACTGTATTGAATTACAAGACACAAAATATAATTATAAATGAATATAATGTAAGTATAATAAATAAAAGAAAGTAAATAAGATAAATTTTGATTCAATGTCGACTAAAGGACACAGGACACACAGGATCCACACACCATAACATGTTTATGCACCGAGATGACAATGGAATTCAATTATACACAGATCTCCATGCTGATGATTCAAATAATCAATATATTCTTCATTTACAATCATGCTCTATAACTTGACATCAGGTGTCAAAAGCCATTTAAAATACATGCAAACACATATTTAGAACTGTCAGTTTCTGCAGTGAAAAAGATTCTAGCAATTCAAATCAGGTGTCAGGTGATATGAAAGCGTCTGGATTTGTGATGCCAAGTTCAGCCTTTAACAGAAAACGGAATCTCTAGCCCCGTTCACTTCAAACATTTGCCACACTACCTGACATTTCAGTTGGGATGCAGTCGAAATATTTCACACCTTCTCTGGCCCGTTAATCAGTGTGAGCTTACTTTAAATGGATTTGGATGCTATAATATGGCATTGAGAGGCAGAACCAGAAAATTCTCTGCATAAAGAGCCAACGTGAGAGAATCCAAGGGTGCATTTACTAGAAACATCTATGCGTCTGTTGTATGTGTGTACATGCTTCAAATCAACAAAATCCCCTCCATATTGGATGTTACACAAGT